AGATGAAGATGAGTGCCTGAAAGATCCTTGCGCTGGAGGAGGTCGCTGCATCAACAGTGTGGGCTCCTATTTGTGCCTCTGCTACTCTGGGTACAGCCTGGCTGTCTTGGAGGGCAAGCAGATCTGTCAGGGTAAGTGGTGTCTGCCTGGCACAGCGCTGCCACCTCCCCAGGGTCTCCCCAGTCTCCTGCTCATGCTCTCTCCTCCACATGCACGCACACCTGCACACCTGCCTGCACACCTGCACACACACCTGCACACCCTCCCTCCCCACAGGCCTGCCCACAGACAGCCTGATCCATGGGGTTCCCTCTCCTCGCTCAGGGACAGGACCTTGCCCATAGAGATCTGGGCAGGAGCCTGTGATGCCAGCCCTGATCGCTGCTTCATGGCAAGGGGTTGCAAGGACAGACGGGGGATGGAGGAGAGCCCTGGCATGGGTCCCCTAGGCAGAGTCTGCTGCAGGTGGAGCAGCTCCTCTCCTGCACCCAGCCTTCCCCATGCTGGACGGGGAAGACTTCAGGATGGTCTCCTGTGTGTTGCCAGATCGAGATGAATGTGAACAGCCCTCTACCTGCCGGGGACAGCGATGCATCAACACTCCCGGCTCCTACCGCTGCGAGTGCAAGGAGGGCTTTGCCATGGGCCCCAGAGGACAGTGTGAAGGTGAAGCTTGGTGCTCCCTGTTCCCCTACCCCTCCAACCCACCCTGTGAAGGGCTGAACACCTCCTTTTCTCCATGCTGCATGTCTCCTTCTGGAAGGGAGGAAGGATTCCCCCATGTTTGTCTGCTCTCTGCCCCCCTGAGGGCTGTCTGTCCTCTCCTCTGCCTGCAGGAGGGACAGGCTTTCCTGAGCTGTGAGAGGGGAGTTCTCCTGAGGTCCTCTTCCACCTCCCCAGGGAGATTTCCCCCAACCAGCTCATGCTGGCTTCCTGTTCTGGAAGGAGATGCCCATGTGTTTTCATGCCAGCTTTACTCTGTCACCAGACCCTCATGCTGGCAAGTGGACCGCAGGGAGGGCAGGCTCAGAGACTCAGGCCACCTGTCTCCACAGCATCCCACTCACATGGCACGACCTGGGCCCTTCAGAGCATTCAACCTTGCGAACGTACGATGTGCCTGACCAAAGATCCTCCTTTCTCAGTAGCTCATCTCCAACAGAGAGTGGGAGACTATTTTAGGAGGCAGTACAGGAAACAGGGCATGCACAGAATGCTGCTCCCCCCCGCACAGCCTTCAGAAAGCACTTGCCTTAAGGACTTCCTGAGCTGGAGGCTGCATCCTAATCATAGTCATGAAAGTCCTTGATGAAACAGCCCTGTGCAGATGTTCACTGATCCCTTTCTCTGCCCCCGCACGTTCCTGGCCTTGGCAACATCCAGTGGCAGGCAGCAGGTTTCGCTGCTGGATTATGTCAGCCCTTGGGTGTGGGTGTGGGTGTAGGATCCTGAGTGATAAATGGGATTATAAGAAGTGTTGCCCAAGCTCTGGCAAACTCATCTCACCTCTTGGGCATTGCTGTCCCCCAGAGGGGGGGATCTGAGCATCCAGCTGGAAGAACCACCCTGGAGTAGGCTGCGCTGTTCGTCCTCAGGAGCCTGAAAGGAGTGTGTTTCTTGGCAGATATCAACGAGTGCGTGGATCCCAGCCCTTGCCCCCATGGGAAGTGTGTCAATACTCTGGGCTCCTACAAGTGTGTCAGCTGTGGGGATGGCTACCGGCCCAGGAACGGGAGATGTGTTGGTGAGGAATGGGAGCTGTCTCTGGGCACACCCTCACCCCTCACAGCAGTGCTCACTGCAAGCCTCAAAAGGAACAGGGACAGGGGCAGCATGTTCCTCCTGTGGGCTGCCAGCCCGTGTGGTCAGGGCACAGTGCCCTCACAATTTGGGTGGCAGGGATGGCCCTGAGCACCTTCCCATTCCATACTGCTATCTGCTATGTCATGCAGATGTGGACGAGTGTCTTGCGGAGGGGACCTGTGCTCATGGACGGTGTGTCAACCTAGACGGCTCCTTCCGCTGTTCCTGCTACCGGGGCTATGAGGTGGCACCTGACGGGAAGAGCTGCCAAGGTACCGGGGAGCCGTGAGTCCAGACCTTCTGAAATGTCACACACCCAGCCCACAGATGTCCCTGGGCTCTTTCTTGGCTCTGCCCGAGGCCTTGTTACTGTGTTGGCTGGTTCTCTCAACACATCTGCTCCTGGCTGTAGTTCCTCCAGATCCTTCCCACTCATCCCACTCTCCCTTGTACGCTTATGCAGACATCGATGAGTGCGCTGCCCGGGCTGCCTGTCCCTCTGGACTCTGCCTCAACACCGAGGGCTCTTACTCCTGCATGGCTTGTGATGCCGGCTACGCCGTGTCCAGAGATGGCCGCACATGTGAAGGTATCCCTTTCCCAGGGACAGGGAGCAGGTGCTGGAGGGAATGAGGGAAGAGACATTGCCATAGCTGGGCTATTGGTGAGGCCTGGGGACTTCTTTAGCTTCAGGATCTTTCTCCAGCTCTTTAGCTCTCCGATCAGCAGATAGCAGAGTTGGGGGCTGCAAGCAGATGTCACCTAGAGCAGCAGGAAGGTGATCTTCCTCACCCAGGAGAGGGATGGGGGGCCAGGACTCACTGATGAGACTCCCTGGACTAATGGTGACCTGGGGGATGCTGGCAAAGGCCAGAGGAGTACAGGAGGCCTGGAAATAGGGACAAAGAAGAGCTGAGTATGGTTGAGTTCAGAACTGTGTGCCTGGAAGCATGTGCCCCAAACATAGGTCCTCAACAGAGGGAAAAACCTTGGGTCTACAGCCAGTGGAGAGTCTGGGCACCTAGACTTCATCTTTTTCCCCAGCCCCTAATGTAACTTGGACATGTTTAAAATGGAAAGAGTAGTTCAAGGGCTCTGCTGTGCCAGGTACGCGTGGCAGAGAGTTAACACCAGCATGGATCTGTGTTGGTTGCTTTGCTCAGACATGAGAGCACCCCATCCCAGCCTGACTGCCCCAGCACAGGCAGGGGAACTCCTTCCCTGATGGCTGCCCCCAGGGGACATCCTGGGCTTGAGATGGCTTGATGCAAATTCCCTGTTTGGGGCAAGGGAAAGGAGGGAGCAGAGCTGGCAAAGCTGGCTGTTTAGAGTGGCCAGTGCTGTGAATTTCTCTCTGGAGCACTGCAGATCTCTGCAGCCTGCACATAGCTGGCAAAACAGAAGATCTTGCCTTTGATGTGACTCTCAGAAACATCCTTGTGTGGGGGCCTCCAGCTGGGGGAGGAGGGAGGCTTTCCTCCCTCTCTTCTCTGTTTTGGTGTCTGAGAAAGCCAGCATGAAATTACCTTATTTTTTGACAGATTTTTGGGTGCAATGGAAAACCCATGATTTGATCCCTTCCATCTGCCCTCCCCCTTTCCCAAGACTCCATGTGAGCCCCTTCTCAGCCACCTTGCCCCAGCCATGTCACGAGGGCACCTTATCAGAGTTCGGTACTGTTTGGGTCACACTGACCTTATGGCAGGATGGCATGTTCTTCCCTGCCTTGGCTGGTGGCCTTGTCTGTGGATCTGGGAATCGTATTTGAAAAATGATAAGGGTTTTGTGATAAATAAACTAGGTTGTGGTTCATCTCCAGAAGAATTCAAGAATATTGCTGCTTGCAACCCTTTGAGGATGAACAGTGGGGAATCCTGCCCCGAGGCAGTAGGAAGCGATGCTCATTTATGCCTGTGGCGTCCTCAGTGCTCTGTGAAGGGGAAGAGAATGTCCCTGCTCTGCCCTCAGGAGCTGCCAGTCTCAGGGCTTTAGCTCCTGGCAGGGCAAAAAGTACAGCAAGGACCTTCTCCACTAGCATGTCTTCTGCTGCCTGCACACCAGCCCATCCTTCTGATTAGCAGCATCCTCCATGGGTAGGGAACAGCAGTCTGCTGGCACATGGCCCTCTGTTAGAGGGAAAGCACCTCTCTCTCCTCTGCTGTGAGCAAAACCCTCACAGCACCAGCAGGCTCTGACCAAGGCCTGGTGGAACTGGGTGGGAGAGGGTTTGTGGGGAGCTCTGAAGCTGGGTAAGAGCTGATGTAGGGCCCTGGCCAGCTTTGCCAGGAGAAGGACATTGTAGGCAAGTTTGGCAGGTAGGAAAGCAGAGCCACAGAAAGTGTGGTTGGTGCTGAGTTACTTTTCTGATGTTTGTTCTTGTGCAGTTGGCTGAAGAGAAGGTTTGTCAGCAGCTGTGGCTCTGCGCTGGCCTCTTGGTGGTTGTGGCATCCAGTGCAGAGCTCTGCTGGGGATGGACACTGGGGTTAGCAGTATCCCTGTGCTCAAAGAATCACAGAGTGGCTGAGGTTGGAAGGGGCCTGTGGCGATTATCTTGTCCACCCCCTCCCTGCCTCAAGCAGGGCCACCAAGAGTTGGTTACTCAGGGCCATGTCCAGATGGCTTTTGAATATCTCCAAGGAGGGAGACTCCACAACCTCTTTGGTCAATCTGTGCCAGTGCTCAGTCACCCTCAAAGTTAAAAAGTGTTTCCTGATGTTCAGATGGGACCTCCTGTGTTTCAGTTTGCGCCCATTGCCTCAGATCCTGTCACTGGGCACCACTGACTGGGTGCTGGGATCTGGTTTGTCCTGGGCCCTGTGATGGAGGGGAATGAAGGGTCTGGGCTGACTCCTTACACCCCAGTAACAGGGAGTCTCTGCCCTCATCTCACTGTGACAGGATGGGCTGGGAGGGCATCTCAGACCCACCTTTCACGCCAGTAGCTGGGTTATGGCTTCTCTGGGTGGGGATCTTCTCCAATGGCAGCAAGAGCTGGGGCCTCACTCTGTGCTGTGCCTTTCTGCTTGGCAGATGTGGATGAATGTGAGGACCCTGCTGTTCAGTGCCTGGGGGGGGAATGCAGGAACACCCCGGGCTCCTACGAGTGCCGCTGCCAGGCTGGCTTCGAGCTCATCAATGGCACCGTGTGCCAAGGTATGAACCCCATCCCTGCAACCCTCTGGGTCCAGGACATACAGCCTCCCTGTAGATCCCCCCATTTTCTCGGCAGGGATGCCAGTGCCAATGCAGGTGATGCCACCATGCATGGCACACCTGTAAGGTTGTAGCCAAATGCAGGATCACCATGGACAGGGAAGGTCTCTGTCTCCATGGCGGGAAAAGCAGGGGGCAGGAGCCCTGTGAGGGCTGCCTGTAAGAGACTGGGGAGGGGGAATCCGTGTGGCTTAGGGGAAGGATGTCCCCTGGAGCTGGGTGTATGGCCGTGACTCTGTTCCTTCTGCAGATGTGAACGAGTGCCTGAACAGCGAGATCTGCAGCCCCAACGGCGAGTGCCTCAATGGTCATGGATCCTACTTCTGCATTTGTGCTCCTGGCTTCTCGAATGCAGCTGGTGGAGTCAGCTGCCAAGGTGAGCTGGAGGATGACAGGGACGTACCTCGGGTCCTGCCCTCTGCTCCTTCCTCTGCTGTGAGATCCAGGTTGATGCCTGATTTTGGCTTGATTTTGCAGATGTGGACGAATGCACAGACAAGTCCCGGTGCTCACAAGGCCAGTGCCTGAACACAGAAGGCTCCTACAGGTGTCTGTGTGAAAATGGGTTCAAACACTCCCAGGAGACTGATGACTGCGTGGGTGAGAGCTCATCACTGGGGAGATCGGCCCTCTGGGATCTGGGGGGATGGATGCAGCCAGTGCAGGGAGGAGGGCAGTTTGGCTCCTAGCACACAAGGTTGCTGGTGACTTGTAAGGAGGACTAGCAGTGGCTCAGGGCCTCTGGCCAGCTGAACTTGACCCAGGTGCTGCAGTGAGCAAGCATGGTCTCCATCTGACCATCCTCATCTCCTTGGCCTCCCCCCTGCAGACGTGGATGAGTGTGAAGAGTACGGGGATGCCATCTGCGGCACATGGCGGTGCCAGAACAGCCTGGGCTCCTACCGTTGTATCATGGGCTGCCAGCCCGGCTTCCACTGGACCCCCTTGGGTGACTGCATCGGTGAGTACAGCCCTGAGTGTCCCTGTCTCTCCTCTTGGCAGGGACAGGGTGGCTGTGGGACATCTCTGCCAGGGGCGTGGGGGAGAAGGAGGAGGAGGAGGAAGCATGTGGCTGGTGGAGAGGCAGATAATGCTGAGAGTTTGTTTTCTTGGCTGAGCTGCCTGCTTGTGTCTAGACTTCTCTCTTCCTGGCATCTGGAACAGACACTGCATTGTGCTGCTTTCCGCCTGGGGAGAGTCCTGGGCAGGTTACAGCCATTCCAGGCTTGGGGCTGGACCACAGCTCCCTGTAAGCTTTGCTTGCTGGGGCTGCTGCCTGTGCCAGTCCCCTGCCTGGCAAGGCTGGGTGAGGGGAAAGGCTGCCGGTACCATTGTGTGCTAGACTGGGGAATCCAGGTTTGGAGTTCAGTTTCCAGCAAAAAAGAAAGAGCAAAGGGATTGCTGCAGTCTGTGAGGCTCCCCCCAGCTCTGGGCTCAGGGCTGTGCCAGGACTCAGACTTAGCATGTGGAGCTGCTCCTGGCCTCGGGAGCAGTGGGCTGAGGGCATGTGGCTGCTCTGCCTGCTCCAGGGGAATCTGTCCCGTGCAGTGGTAGGAGGGGAGCAGGATGCAGCCAGCAAGGCTGTGAACCTGCCCTCTGCAAGCAGAGGACCCATTTGTGACTGTGCAACCCCACCAGGCTGGGGCAAGGCAGAGATTACTCCCTGGCACTATAGCAGTTGGAGAAGGACCAGGTCAAGAAGAATGGGGCAGGAGGGTATCATCCTAGATCTGTCTGCACTTGCCCCACACACTTCAGTTGTGCCCTTGTATCTCCTGCTGGTGTGAGCCTGTAGGCTCTGTGTCCCTTTACTCCTCTGTGGTGACCTGCACTACCCTAAGTCACCCCTGCCAGCCACCTCCCATGCTTCCCATGCATTTCCCGTTCCCACCCCAATCCTGTTGCCCTGTCCACGTGGCCTCTCTGCAGCTCTGGGTGTTGCAGGAAGCTTTGCTTAACACATACACTCGTAGTAGGGGAGTGAGTGGGGCAGCCAGACC